TAAAGTTTAGAACTTTTAATCTAGAACAGAGTTCCCTCTTTTATAAAAGAGTATTTATTTATTTAAAGAAACTAAATGATACATCATATAGAATTGCCCAGGTGTCATTTTTAATATATTCCTTTACCCCTCATATTTCCTGTAAACTGGTAATTAGATCTGGAAGCATGTAGAGATCCAGAACCAATTTCTTTAGCAAGAACATGCCATAGGCGGTGCTTTATTCTTCTTACTGGATTACATTAGGAGGCATATATCTGATTGTCCCACTTTTTTAGTGAGTTAAGACACATACTGAAATACTTACAAATGAAACAATATGATGTCTGAGATCTGCTGTAAATACAGCAAAATAACAACAAAAAAGTATGGAGAGACAGATAAAACAATAATGGCAGCTTGTTGACAATCATTGAAGACAGCTAATGGGTACATGGCAGTTTCAATATAGCCAAAATATATTTTTTTTTTTTTTTGAAACGGTCTTGCTCTGTCACCCAGGCTAGACTGCAGTGGCATCGTCATAGCTCACTGTAACCTCAAACTCCTGGGCTCAAGTGATCCTCCTGTCCCAGCCTCCCAAGTAGCTGGGACTACAGGTGCATGCCACCACCCCTGGCTAATTTTTCTATTTTTAGTGGAGACAGTGTCTCACTCTTGCTCAGACCGGTCTTGAACGCCTGAGCTCAAGCAATCCTCCCACCATGGCCTCCCAGAGTGCTAGGATTACAGGCATGAGCCACCAGGGCCAGCACAAAATAAGTTTTTAAAAAATTTTGGCTCCTACCTAAATCTCCAAAAGCCTCATCTCTTATTACCCTTTAACATGCACGCTATACTCGGGTCATACTAAACTAAGTAGCAGTTCCTCAAAATGCCAGATGGTTCCTCCACACCTTTGCACATGTTAGTCCTGTTGCCCAGAATGCTCTTCTCCCTTTTTGGCCTGACAAACACTTACTCATCATTCAAGACTCGACTTAGATGTCACCTCTCTAACCTCTAGTCCTACCCGAAGCTGACTTTCTCTACTAATCCTACTACCTATCACCCCAATTAGACTACAAATGCCTTTAATGTTGCACTCAATCTGCTCCAGAGAGGCCTAAAGCCTCTGGGGAAGAATCTCTAAGTAAACATAATGGACCATGTCAGGGGTTTCTTGGCCCAGCTAGTCAGACCTGCTAAGCAGACAGGTACAAAGCCAGAATCTCCAGAGCAGAAACCAGAAGGAAAGTTCAGAAAGCAATAAAATACCCTGAGAATATCAAAGGGCGCTCCTTGGCCCCAGCAGAATCCCTACTGTCTG